GTAAACAGCAACTGGATGATGCAATCTCGAGCTTGATACTTCCCTCGCCTATTCTGTCTGATTATAACAGTCCTATGGAGGATAGTGGGATAAAAAAGTAGGAACATTGGAGCCGGCTCCGTGGCTCACTAGGCTAATCCTCCACCTAGCGGCGCCGGCACACCGGGTTCTAGTCCCGGTCGGGGCGCCGGATTCTGTCCCGGTTGCCCCTCTTCCAGGCCAGCTCTCTGCTGTGGCCCGGGAGTGCAGTGGAGGATGGCCCAGGTGCTTGGGCCCTGCACCCCATGGGAGACCAGGAAAAGCACCTGGCTCCTGGCTCTTGCCATCGGATCAGCACGGTGCGCCGGCCGCAGCGCGCTGGCCGCGGCGGCCATTGGAGGAAAGGAAGACCTTTCTCTCTGTCTCTCTCTCTCTCTCACTGTCCACTCTGCCTGTCAAAATAAATAAATAAATAAATAAATAAATAAATAAATAAATAAATAAATAAATGAAGTGGGAGCCTGGAGATGCCATCCTGGTCTCTCAGGTGGGTGGCAGACCCCAGTACTTGAGCCATCATCTGCTGCCTCCCAGGCTGCTCATCAGCAGAAACCCGCGGGAAGCCGGCAGGCCTGGAGCCACACCACACTGACTGATACGGATGCAGGCCTGGGCGAGGGCGCCAGTCTCACCCGCTGGGCCACAACGCCCACCCACCCCTTTCTAACCATCTACAACCGTGAGCAAGTGATGCGGGGCGTGGAAGATGGGGCAGCGATGGTCTCGTAGGACTGGCTGCGAGGATCACCAGGCTCAGTTGAGTCACTGACATGTATTAGGTGTAGAGTAAGAGCGAATTGGGAGGGAGGGAGAGAGAGAGAATCCTGCCCACAGACTGTGTTCCTGGGGAAGTTGGTATCAGAGGTAGTGGCTGGGCAGTTCCAGCCTCTCCCATCCAAGTACCTGGGTTCAGTTCTGGCTCCCGCCTCCCGCCCCCACCAACGCCCACTCTGGGAGGTAGTGGTGATGGCTCAGTAAGTGGGTTCCTGCCACCCACACAGGACCCCGGGATTGCACTCCCTGTTCCCAGCTTCAGCCCAAGCACAGCCCTGACCCACGCGGGCATCTGGCGAATCAACCGACAGATGGGGCTCTATGTCTCAAGTTAATAATAAATTACCTCCAAATTTTTTTTGTCTTAAAAAGGGGGTGCTGAGCCCGAGGGCAGGGTCCACAGCTGCCTGTTCCTTTCCTCAGGTCTGGAGAGTGAGAACGTGGTGGTCTGTCAGCCGGATGAGTTTGAACAGACTTCCCAGGATGAGGACTTGGAATTCAAGGAAGAGGAAGAGCTAGGCCCGGGCCACGAAGTGGGAAGTGCCGCTCTGAAACCCGAAGGCATCGAGAGCTGGGATGACTTGTGGGTCCAGAGACAGGGGCTGGGAAAGCCTCAGGCTCGGGACCGAGGCCTCCGGATGCTGGGCGAGCCCCGCTGGGGCCAGGCCAGCGGGGATCGGGCTGCGGTGTGCGGCGAGTGTGGCAAGAGCTTCCGGCAGATGTCCGATCTGGTGAAGCACCAGCGGACGCACACCGGGGAGAAGCCCTACAAGTGCGGGGTGTGCGGCAAGGGCTTCGGAGACAGCTCGGCCCGCATCAAACACCAGCGAACTCACAGCGGTGAGAAGCCCTACAGAGCCCGGCCACAGGCCCAGGGTCCCCCAAAGATTGCTCGGCCCCGGATCCCCGCCGGCGAGCGCCCCACCATCTGCGGTGAGTGTGGCAAGAGCTTCCGGCAGAGTTCGGACCTGGTCAAGCACCAGAGGACGCACACAGGCGAGAAGCCCTACAAGTGCGGCATCTGTGGCAAGGGCTTCGGCGACAGTTCCGCCCGCATAAAGCACCAGCGGACACACCGCGGGGAGCAGCCCCCCCGGCCGGTGGTCCCCCGCCGGCAGCCCTCGCGGGCGGCCCCGGCCGCCACTGCCCCGGGATCAAAGGCCCAGGACAAACCATACATCTGCACCGATTGTGGCAAACGGTTCGTGCTCAGCTGTAGCCTCCTGAGCCACCAGCGCAGCCACCTGGGGCCCAAGCCCTTCGCCTGCGACGTGTGCGGGAAGGAGTTTGCCCGCGGCTCCGACCTGGTGAAGCACCTGCGGGTGCACACGGGCGAGAAGCCTTACCTGTGCCCCGAGTGCGGCAAGGGCTTCGCCGACAGCTCGGCTCGCGTCAAGCACCTGCGCACCCACAGCGGCGAGAGGCCGCACGCCTGCCCAGAGTGCGACCGCACCTTCAGCCTCAGCTCCACGCTGCTGCGCCACCGCCTCACGCACATGGAGCCTCAGGACTTCAGCTTCCAAGGCTACCCCTTGGCCGCCCTGATCCCCAGCCCGCCCCCACCTGCTCTTGCCACCAGCCCGCTGCTGACGCCCCGCAGCCCCTCGCACTCAGGGGAGGGGCCCTTTGGCCTGCCGGGCCTGGAGCCGGAGCCTGGGGACCCGCAACCCGGGGAGCCGCCGCCGCCACTGGCGGGCGACAAGCCCCACAAGTGTCCCGAGTGTGGCAAGGGCTTTCGTCGGAGCTCCGACCTGGTGAAACACCACCGCGTGCACACCGGGGAGAAGCCTTACCTGTGCCCCGAATGTGGCAAGGGCTTTGCCGACAGCTCGGCTCGCGTCAAGCACCTGCGCACCCACCGCGGCGAACGCGCCCGGCCGCTGCCGACGCCGCCCACTCTCCTGCGGCTGCATAACCCACCAGGCCTCCTGGCGCCGCCAGCGCCTCGTTCCCGGGTCCGGGCCCAGACCTCTGGACCCAGCCAGCCCCACGTGTGCGGCTTCTGTGGGAAGGAATTCCCGCGGAGCTCAGATCTGGTGAAGCACAGGCGCACCCACACCGGGGAGAAGCCATACAAGTGCGCCGAGTGCGGCAAGGGCTTCGGAGACAGCTCGGCCCGCATCAAGCACCAGCGCGGGCACCTCGTCCTGAGGCCCTTCGGCATAGGGGACGTTCGGGCGAGGCCTCTCAAGGAGGAGCCGCCGACAGAACTGGAGTGACCGGGAAGACCAAAGGGAGAGCCGTCTGCTGCCTAGGCGCAGCAGAGGGCCCGGGAGGTGGTGGGAGGGAGGAGGAGGGGGAGGCATGGGAGACAGGAGCGACTAGATAGAAATCGAGACTGGACAGCGTAACCTTGAAGCTCAGGAATCGGTCCTGGCTGGGCTCAGTCAGGACCTGGCCAGTGTGGGCTGTGCCGCAGCTTCTGCCTGGCACAGTTGGCACTCAGTAAACACTCGCCTGGGGACGCCAAACCCTGAGTTCCTGCTGCCTCTTATCTGTCCGGAACTGACTGCTCCCCGGGAGACCAACACCCTGAAGTAGGCTTTGTGCGACCTCAGGGCTGTAACAATGGGACTGGAGGAACTTGGGGATCTGCAGCCGGGCAGGGACGCCTTGATCATCCTGCTAGCGGGGGAGGCATCGCTGTGTGGCCCAGGCGGTACCCACCCCTGACCCAGGGGCCACGGGATCTGGTCTTGACCAGGAAGCGCACCCTTGGGACAGGGCTCAGGCCTGAGGGACCTGGAGGAGCCTCAGCCCACCCTGGCTTCTGGACCGTGACAGCAGGCACGGCGTTCCTGGCACCCGGTGCCGGGCCAAGCACAGATCTTGGTGGGCAACAGCAGAGATCAGTTGGCCGGGAGAGGGCAGGACTTCCGGGAGAGGGAGTGCAGAGCGGAGCTGCTCCAAGGTCCACAGCCATGTTTTCATTGTCTCCTTGCTAATAAACTGCTTCTTGTCTGAGGGCTGGGTGTGTGTGTGTGTGTGTGTGTGTGTGTGTGTGGCGCGCATTTTCATGAACTTTTTGTGCGCGGATCTCAAGAATTTTGCACACCAAAACGTTTTAATTGCAACTTCCCCCCGAAGGTTTTGAAGCAACCCCGCACACATCCATGGCAAGAGTCGAGAGAGGGGTCGCCACAGGCAAAACACTCAAGCCTGCGCAACCTTGAGCGGGTCCCTAGCGCTTTCGAGCCCATGAAATAGGTCCTCCCGCATAGTCAGTGGTTTTCTAGTTTTTGACACTTGGTTAACAGAAGGAGGTGGGGCAGCAGGTCCATCAACTGAAGCCCTCGGTCCCAGGCCTGGCTGCTCCAGGGGCCAGTGGAGCCCTGAAAAGTAAGGCTGCGCCGGGGAGCGGGTGTTCCGTGAGACCCGTGCTTCTGGAGAATCAGGTCAGCTGGCTGCACGGCCCACAGAGGGCCGCGGGGGCGCCTCCATCTCGGAAAAGGCCGTTTCCCAGCGACCCGTGCGTGCTCAGGCGCCGGCCTGCAACTCCCAGCTTTGTCAGAGGAGAGCGCCAATAGGGAGGGAGGGGAAAGAGGAACTGGCCTGATTGGCCAAGGACAAAATAGAGGCAGTTCCCCCATCCCTAAGCGATCAAGTTCTCTCGCTTGCTTTGCAAGTTCGCCTGTGCCAGCCTCTGCGCGCGGGGCTGGTCCGCCCTCGGCCGGAAGTTCTCGCGAGATCTTAGCCATCTGATTGGCTTCCTTGGAAAGCCAATCAGAGCTCGCTGCGGCGCGGCGCGGCCGGCCCTCCTTCCCTGGCCAGCTTGCCCGCGCCCTGGAAACCCTGGGCCCCTGCTCCTGGGCGCCGGGGTCGGGGGCTTCCGCCCATTTGTGCGCATCACCCCCTGGCCAGGATGGACGTTCTCTTTGCCGGTTACCTTGTTTCCCTTCCCTACCAGTTCAGACTTCAAGTTGATCTCAGTGAACTTTGTAAAATTACATCGGGCCGTGTCACTCCCCCATTAAAAATCCTGCTATGGAGAAAATAATCAATTCAGAAGATAGCTGCAAAAAGATGACTTTGCCGATAGAGTTTTTTGTTTGTTTGTTTTTTGACAGGCAGAGTGGACAGTGAGAGAGAGAGAGAGAGAAAGGTCTCCTTTTGCCGTTGGTTCACCCTCCAATGGCCGCTGCGGCTGGCGTGCTGCAGCCGGCACACCGCGCTGATCCGAAGGCAGGAGCCAGGAGCCAGGTGCTTCTCCTGGTCTCCCATGGGGTGCAGGGCCCAAGTACTTGGGCCATCCTCCACTGCACTCCCGGGCCACAGCAGAGAGCTGGACTGGAAGAGGATCAACCGGGACAGAATCCGGTGCCCCGACCGGGACTAGAACCTGGAGTGCCGGCGCCACAGGCGGAGGATTAGCCTAGCGAGCCGCGGCGCCGGCCCGGGTACATTTTCTTAAAAACAAATAAAATAGGCCGGCGCCGCGGCTCGCTAGGCTAATCCTCCGCCTGTGGCGCCGGCACTCCAGGTTCTAGTCCCGGTCGGGGCACCGGATTCTGTCCCGGTTGATCCTCTTCCAGGCCAGCTCTCTGCTGTGGCCAGGGAGTGCAGTGGAGGATGGCCCAAGTGCTTAGGCCCTGCACCGCATGGGAGACCAGGAGAAGCACCTGGCTCCTGCCTTTGGATTGGCACAGCGCGCTGGCCACAGCGGCCATTGTGGGGGGTGAACCAACGGAAAAGGAAGACCTTTCTCTCTGTCTCTCTCTCACTATCCACTCTGCCTGTCCAAAAAAAAAAAAAAAAAAACCACCTGAAGAAAAAATAAATAAACACATAAAATAAGATTTATATATTTTACTTGAAAGGCAGAGTGACACAGAGGAAGAGGCAGAGCAGAAAACAGAGAGAGGTCTTCCATCCACTGGTTCATTCCCCAAATGGCTGCAATGATCAAGGCTGGGCCAGGACAAAGCCAGGAGCCAGGAGTTTCATCCAGGTCTTCCACGTGGGTGCAGGGGCCCAAGAACTTGGGCCATCTTTCACTGCTATCTCCAGCGCATGAACAGGGAGCTGGATCAGAAGTGGAGCCGCTGGGATTCGAACCACCATCCATATGGGATCCAGGCACTGCAGATGGTGGCTTTACCTTCAATGCCACAGCGCCAGCTCCCCTAAGTAATTTCTTAATCATAGCACCAAAGGCCTGCTCCAATATATTCATATTTTTTAAAACCACAACTTCTTTATTATGAAAGGAACTAGATCCGGTTGTAAGTAGTTACCTGTGCACGTTTGTGGAATGAGGGATGGAGCCCTTTCCTTCCCTTTGCAAGCACCTAGATTCCAGCCAGAGCTGACTCCTTCCAGGAGGGGCTGTCGCTGCCCCCAGCGCAGGGCCCTGGCTGAGTCGCCTGAGTTCGGGCGCACCAGCCTTGCTTTGGCTATAAGTGGGGTTCCAGCCATAACTGGGCCCTGGGCTCCCTCTGTTCCATTTCTCTATTACTTTTTCCTTTTCTGGCACTCTCAGATCCAGCCAACAAGGCGCCAAGAGGCCAGGCTTGTGCCCCGAGGCCTCTGCAGCCCTGTCCCAAACACTCTGCTAGGTTTTCAAATAGCTAAGGTGGAGGGTGGCCCCAGGGTACTTGGTGGAGTCCCCTAAACTAGGGAAGATATCAGCTCCCCAGATCCACCCAGAGATGCAAATCATCTCCTGGGCCACAGGAAATTCACGGTGGGGAAATATTGCAGGGACAAGTACGCTTCTTGGATTGTAGTTCTTAGTGCGATGGACAGCCTGTCCCTGCTGCAGGTGACACCAGCCCCCCTAGGAAGGGGCTGCCACTACAGGCAGCACCCTTCAGATCGAAGCCTGCAGTAGGACTCACCCTGTCCCCAGCTGTCTTGTCAGCTGCTTCCCTCAGTGAGCTTGACGACTCTAATTTTGCTCACTCTCTATGCTGGTGAATTCTTTTTTTTTTTTTTTTTTTTTTTTTTACAGGCAGAGTGGATAGTGAGAGAGAGAGACAGAGAGACAGGTCTTCCATTGCCATTGGTTCACCCTCCAATGGCCCGCACACTGCGCTGATCCAATGGCAGGAGTCAGGTACTTATCCTGGTCTCCCGTGGGGTGCAGGGCCCAAGGACTTGGGCCATCCTCCACTGCACTCCCTGGCCACAGCAGAGGGCTGGCCTGGAAGAGGGGCAACCGGGACAGAATCCGGTGCCCCAACTGGGACTAGAACCCGGTGTGCCGGCACTGCAAGGCAGAGGATTAGCCTACTGAGCCGCGGCGCCGGCCAGCTGGTGAATTCTGTCAGCACCCGTGACCTTTTCTTGTCATTCAAGTGCCAGTTCCCCAGGGATTCCTTCCCTCTCCACCTTAAGCAAGACTTCCAACCACAGCCACTCCCTACTGGGCCATCTTCCCCATCTCCTTCACTGCACCTGCCATTAGCTGAAATCACCTTTTTTTTTTTTCATTATAAACTTTCACTTAGTGTAATGCCTAATTACAAGTATTTTTGTTACCGGAGAAATGCAGGGTTCTTGTCTTTGCGCAAGAAAGAATTCAGGCATGAGACAGAGAGTAGTGGGAGGTAAAATAGCAAGGTTTATTAGGGAAGGGACATCCGTAAGAACGGATGGGCACCTCTCCAGACAGGACCTGAGAGAGAGATCAGACGGGCGGCTCAGCAGAGAGGCAGAGGGCTGAGCGTGCAGTCTGGTTGAGGCCAGGGGTTTTTAAGGAGATGGGTCTTTGTCTTCACACATCTCCTCCTTAAATGAAGGATTTTATGGCTGTAAATATTAAGAAGCTCCTATCTGAGTTTTTCCTTGAAGGTATCAGACAGGAGGAAACCTAGCTGGTGCCATCCTGGGTTCAGAGGCAGGGTGAGCAGGACCCCCTAGAGAATGGGGATCCGGAGCAGGGTGTTTGAAATGCAGATGCTGGGCTGCATCTGGGAGATTGTGGAAGATTTGTCAGGCAGAAGGGGCGGGGACCCCCACCTGGCAGGTTATCAGGTAGAAGGGGGCAGGGCAGGGCAGGATGTGAATACCGGGCTGCCCCTGAAACATTGTCAAGATGACTTTGAGATGCAGATGCATATGCTGGACATAGATGCCTTCTCTTTAGGCCTTTATGTCACACACACATAAGCTCATAACTGACTTCCTACCTAACATTTCCCCCCTCAAGAGGCAATACCCAAAATTCTTCTTTGGGATTATGGGTGGAGTTCCGTTTTCTGTAACTTCTTCGAAGCTGGCATGTGGGTGTCGAGGAGGATTCGGGTATTTCCTCTTGCTATCTGTCTTATGGTGTGCAACAGTGGCCTTGGAAAGACTGTCCTGCTCGGTCCAGAGGGCTGTTCAGGTCGTCCAGTGGAATGGGCTGGAAGCCTTGTCTGACGACCATTTGGAGTTCTTTGGAGTTCGACAGCTTTTATTCTGTTAGAGACAAAACAAACAAGGGCATTAAAAACACATGGTCCAAAGAGAAGCAGCAAGATTACAGAAGTTATTGGGCCAAGGAGAGGGGATAGCCAGGATTTCCATGACCAGATGTCAGGCCAGAAGTCCCAGCCCTGCTTGGCCTGGTCCTGGAGCTGTTTGGCTTTATCCAGCAAAAGTACGAATTTGGGTTTGTACCTGTCTAGTCTGATTGACCCAGAGACAACATTCTTCCTGGAGCATGGCACAGATACCTCTCGGAACAGCACTTAGCATGTCCAATATTTCTTTTATAACCTTTTGTGACTTCCACACACCCTCTTCAACTTACTTGAAACATTCCATCATTTCCATTCCAGTCTAGAGTAAACTAGTCATCAGGATAATCATTCTTACAAACCATGTCCTTTCCTTATTTAAAAAACTCTTTCCTTCTTAACCTTTCTTACCAAGCACACATTTCTATACTTGTGATGTTTTTCATAGAGCCTGGTTGGCTCTTTCTACCTTACTGGAAGACTGAGGTCTCCATGCAGAGTGAAGGTGCCAGGTTATTCCTAGG